GTTTTAATGCCAAAAACTTACCTTCCAACCGATTGTTTCTATATAGGCCATATAATATAGTAATCTAAATTGATCAAGATTTCATTACATAAAATTAATTTTCAATAAATTCCTCTATATACCTATTTGATATAGTAAGTCAGATAGTGATAGGGTTCGGTTCATAAGTGCGGAATCATGTGGAATTTGTAAATGTGAAGATTTGTAAGGATGTTTAAAGACAAAAAAAAAGTTGTATATAAGAATTTTCGAATGATCATATGAGAGCTCATATATAATATATAATGGCTTAATATATAATGTATAAATGTTATATGGGATTAAATACCTCACCTGCTTGGCGTTACACATTTCGTGTCAATGTTGTAATACTCTCCAAAAGGGTATGAAAAGCAACACACACACATGTGTTGTGCCTCCCTTTTTGAATCAGATCAACCGTTGCCGGCGTGCCTGAACTGGCATGAACCTGCCGCGCTGCGGAGTTGTGTACCGTTGTGTAGATGATGTTGCAACATTGGCACAGTCGACAAGTCGCCACAGCGGTAAGTGCCCCAACCATTAAACTTCAGCTGGTGGCACGAGCTTAATGTTGTCGTTATACATTTTACAGGTTGACGACACACGAGCGAGCGCTCTGAAGAAGAAGATTGCAGCTTCGACTCTCTGACGGAGACGAGGTATGCGCCCCCTTGTGCATGTGGGGGGCGTGCATCCAACACATCCGTGCAACCACAGGCCATGCACGCCGCCGGCGGCGTGTTGCACTTTTTGTTTTTTTTTTTTTTTTGTTTTTTCTTCTGTGGTCTGCTTGTCTCCGGCTGGGGGCCCAGTGCCCGACTGCAGCCTAACAGCTATTAAGTTTGTCCGCTTTGCCCATTTTGCATATGATATTTTTTTGGGGGCTCCAGGCCTCCGGGGCCCTGGGGGTCAGCGTGGGGCGCAGGCACACGCGGGTTATCGTCCGGTTTATGGTGCCATCGAGCGACGCGCGTCATGTTTATAAAGAAATTCTCTGCTGCTTCATTTAATACGAGTAATTTTCTTGGCAACGTGTCGTCAATGTGCATCCATCGTTGCCGATGGCAACTTCGACTGGGAGCTGCTTTGACCGAGCACCTAACTGCTGTGGTTCGTTGTTTTTTATGTATTTATAATGTGTTGCTACTTGTTGAGTTGCGAAGCTTTTCAGTTTTGCTGCAATGAAAGAATATAATAATTATATTAATATTATACGAAATTATAGATAGATAATTGTATATATAAAGAATAATAATGAACATTTTGGAGCCATTTGAATGTTTGATAATGTTAACAAATAAAATTTAAATAAGTAAATCTGGTAAATATAGTCGGAAGTGCCCGAGCATATATGTATTAAATTCAGTGTATATTTCGTAGTATAATTGGATAATGTATCCTACATTGAAATGTCAGCAAATCAAAAAATTATATTAAAAATTCAATAAAAATATAGTAAAAAGAAAAGTAGAAAGCGCCAGAGTTTATATACTAAAATTGGTTTCTCTATCAGTATCAGATATCGATTCTTATCGATATCGTGTTATGTGGACAATATATCGAAGGGGATCAGTTCCATATTTTGAGCTTCTGGCGCCCATAGCCTTAGAGATCTACGCTAGACCGACAGATTTGCACAAAGAAACACTGTACCCTTTTTATGTCCATTTAAAAGAATACTTGTATCTGACTAGTTCATCTAAAGAATGAGAGCATATCCTGTCTGGCTCGTCGCCCTGAACAATCCACTGCCTTCTGCACTGAGTTACACACTTTGTAACAAAATTATAATGCCTAATTGTTAGAATATGGAAACAAAATAGTTCCTGTTACCAATTGTGTTGGAACAATGCCGAATTGTCTTCCGAGAAGCAAACGGAAATGCGATGCTGTAAAAATAAATTAGAAGTGGCAAAAACAATAAAATGGTAGGTGTTTTGTCATTTGTCTCCTTTTGCAAGGCGTCTCATTTTCACTTCCGCTGTCGTGCCAAGGATTTGTGTGCATTTGAAGATCGAGACACACGTCAAGTTGTGTGTTTTGCAGGTGCTCTTCAGGTGAATTTCGTATTCCTTTCTGTCAGCCTTCACATTGAATTTAATAACTAACCGAGGCTGGCTGAAATTGAAACATTACCGAGGCCTGTCAGCCATTTCCATGGGCAAAATGAATCGTTTCCTTTCATATTTAAATCGGAGCAGGCGATTTGGGGCCAGCAGGCAGCATATCAAGCTAACATTTTCAAATGCTGCCACGCCCACTTAAGTGGCAGCTGAAAACCAGTAGCCAATGCAACTGGCACCGAGGGCAACCGACCGTTGGCTGCAATCAAAATCTTCAGCAAGACAGCAGCGGCGTTCACACGTCCTCAACGTCCACAACCACATCCCCATCCACATCCACATCATCATCATCATCATCATCATCATCATAATAATAATCAACATTTAAGCTAACAACGTCAGCCTGAATCCGCAATAAACGTTTCACGTCAAAGATTGATCATTGCGGCCAGCCCAGGCTCAGACTCATCCATTTCGCCCAATCAGCCACACCCACAAGATGCAACAGTGCAGTTAAAGGCCCCCATATTAAAATTTCTTAAAACTCTTGCTGAGGTGGCAACAACAATAACAACAACAAGTAGGAGGGCGTCTGCTGTGACTGCTCGAATACAAAATACTCTGTCTTTCACAGACTAAGCTGTGGCTGGTCAAATTAACAATAAATATAAATTATAAATTGCTAGATCTAAATTAGTTAGGCCCAAATATTAACCAGTACACTGAGATTTATATATAGAGAGTTTATATCATGGTCATGATTATCATGGGTTTGTGAACCTGGCCTTTTAAACTCACGAAAGCATGCTTGAAATCCGACATTGGCTTTTTTGAATAATTTTTAATTATTTATTTAAATTCTGCAATTTTCCATATTCAAAATACTGAAACTATCGGAAGCACTTTGACAAATGCTCAAAAATCATGCGAAAATATATATATATATATATATAAAATTATTTGAAGCATATTTTAAAAATAAAATAAGTTAGGGTTAGGTCAAATTAAATTCTTGATTATCCCACTAATTCGGAGTAAGATTCGCTTCATTGTTAATAAAAAGGTGGAACTCTAGGTTTAAGCCAGTTCGGTGCAAACCCTAGACTTTTTAACCTTTATGTAGATACCTCCATCTATTAACTCCAATTATGAAATCAGCCTGTTATCATGCCCAACTCTACATTGTAGGGTATAAAGGGTATAATATATGTTGTGGGTTTGTATGTATAGCAAACAGTGGCTTTTGGCTTGTTGCTTCCGTTCCAACTGCTGCAAGGTGTGTGGCAGCAGAAAAAAAAAATAAAACAGTAGCTGCCACCGCCACTAAACGTGCAACAATTGGCAATTTCGTTTGCTGCGCCCAAAACGCAGGCCTCGCAGCCCCGCGAATCGGAGCCTAGGCCAACAAGCGACAGGTACGCAAAGCGCAACGATTGCCAATGGAGGCGATGCCAATTGTTGTGTGTGTCTGTGTGTGTGTGTACGACCTGTGCCCGGCTGTCGTTGCACTCCATGTTGCCTTCAACTTTCTACAACTGCCACATGCTGGGTATCTATGAATGGGCCGCAGCGTCCCATTCTCAAGCCGCCGTCGACGGTGGTGCTACATCATCGTCAACGTGTGGCCAACGTTTGGGGGCAACGTCAACTTGTTGCGATTTCGATTTCCTGTGCGCAGAAAAGTTTGACGTTTGCTGGGTCACCTTGCCATGGGGACATGGGCTTTGGCAGTATTCGTAATTGCTCTAAAAGAAATTTCCATATGATAATATTTATTCGCTGGAATATGCCCACAACAACTCGCCGGGCTAACCGTCGGTCTAACTGTCTGTATGTCTGTCCAGCTACGCCCGCGCTCCACGCAACACTCTGCCTGTTGTTATTGTTGTTGTCTATTTGACACTGCGCAGGCGGCGAGGATGCACTGCAAACAGCGTGTGGGTGGTCGCCAACTGACTATGACTCCAGCCATGTCAGGCTGTCTGGCAGTCAGTCTTGGGTGCCTTCAAGTGACTCCGGCATTCGTGTGTTCGCATTTTTATTTCCATTTGCCATCTGCAATGTTTGTCGATCAGCTAGACTCTATTCCTGCTGCTGCTGCTGCTGCTCCCTGAGCTGCTGCTTCTTCTTCGATTTTATTTTTTATTATCTAGTTGGCATTTTAGTTGAATTGTTAGCTTAGTTTATGTGCTGATCCAACTGCAGCCCCAGCCGCTACTGCTCCTTTGCCCGAGTCGTCGTCGTCTCCTCCCAGTACCCCCCGCTGCCTTCCGCTGGATTATGCAAGCTGCAGCATTGCAATTCGAATTGCCAATCTGCATTTCTAAACGCTGGCTTGAATATGGACCGTTAGCGTTACGATTGATGCAGTGACTATTTACTGAATTATCGTTATTCAAATTTTAGTGTTGTGTGTTGCTTAAGGCAGTGTTGCAAAATGCCGGGCCCGTACGTTAGAGTAGCGATAATCGATGAGTGATAAAACTGACTGATAAAACTCATTTAAAATTAATAAGAAAAGCTTATTGCTAAAGTTAACAAACACCGGCCTTCTTTTATAATTAATCATTGAAATTATTATTAAAACAAGAGAAAGAAGATACTCTCATAAACAAATGGCCAACTGATTGTTACCATAGTATCAAGTTTAGTATACAAGACCATCAGTTTATACCAAACTGTGGCAGCTAGGTATATGAAGTTTTCCGATCTGAAAAAGGACCCATTCAAAATATCGTGACGGCAGCTGAAGGTAAGAGACGGTTGAGTTAACTGATCACAATTATCAATATTTCCCGCCCAAACACATTTTTCATGAAAAAGTTAGAAAAACTATTACAAGGGTATACAAAGTAGTGTTGAAAGATGCCATAAGCTAGAGTCAGAGCAAAATTGCTTTGCAATACAGTTTTTTAGGGATTAGAAACAAAGAGGTGATATTTTTCAAACTTGCTATTTTCAATTTATGCACAACAAACATAAAATAAGAATAAGACGGCGCACCTTGCATAGACGAAGAACTTGGGTAAGTAACCCGCAGCTACCCTCATGTAAGTCGGCCCAACGCACAGAAAACTTATAAAATAATAGTAATTAAAAAAAAAATGCATAATTAGGTCAACGCCTCGTAGCTGGCACTGCGACGGCACGCGTAATGAACCTGTTCGGGAGCAGAGCGACTCGCCCGGGCGACAGACGGCGGCGACATTAGCGACAAAGGCGAAACACATGAGCCGTCGGCTCCGGTCGCACCTTGACCAGAATTTCTAATAAATTTCTAGCTAGGGGTAACAACATGTCAAAACACAGGCGAGCACAGATAATGTCTGGCTTAATATGCGCCCAAGCACCCTCATAGATTCGGCTACGACTCGACTGGACTGGACCGTCCTTTTGGGCACCGAAAGTCAGTGGTGCGCGGAAATGTGCGGGACAGGCGAGACCTGAGACTTGCGTCGTACGACGTGCGACAGACGAGTGTCGCGCGCCGTTGTTTAATATCCGCTTACCCCGACCGGTCGGTCGATCGGTGGGTCGTTTGTCCTAGTTCTAGCATTCCATCATGCTCACAATTTGAATAATTAGTCGCTCGTGCCGGCAGCACGCCAGAAACTCCAGTCACTAGCACCAGCACCAACCACCAGCACCAACCACCTTCTTGTCGCATTCCTGTGCACTTTGCATAACATGTCCTCGCTCCTGTTGCAGATGTGTGGGCAGGTTGAGTGCACAGTGCACTGGAGAGGAACAAGTGCTGTTGCGCGAGTGGGCAGTGTTGCGGTCACTGATCGTGCACTCGACCGGTAAGGATCATGCTGGCATATGTTACCTTCTATTATGCACTTGAACATAGTAAAGGTGCAGACGCGTGCCATGGCCAAGGGGCCATGGGCATAGCTTTGCTCTGGGCAGCTGCTGTGTGGAACTTACAAGTTGTGTTTCTTTTTGCCAGATATTTGTTGGGGCGGAACATGTCCAGCTATCCCATTGAAGTGCCCATGCAGCCCTACGCTGGCAGGCTGCTCATCATTGAGCATCTCATTGTGCCCGACGTCAGCGATGACCAAAGGCAAGGCTCGGGCAAGAAGGCTATTGTGGGCCCCAAATTTTCGGACATGCCACGTCCATCGTTCTTTGAGCCAAAAGTTATTGAAAAGACGCTGCTCAAGTATTGCATTCTAGAAGGCATTTCTAAAGATTTCAAGGACGAGCTCGTGGATGCGCTACTGTCAGCCGTGGAGACGTACATGAAGTACCTGGTGCGAACCGTCATCGAGCTATGCGAACATCGCTCTGGCAACAATCTCTATAACGATCCACGTTGCGTGGTGCAGCATAATATGCGCACCACAATGATGTTTCTCAACGATCGCGAGGTGGCTGACTATGGCTGTTCGGATGACGATTCCGCCTACGGGCACCGCAGGTAGTCTAGATATAGATGGAGTTTCATATTTATTCCGTTTTTATATGGTAATATCTATTCCAATTACAGGCGCTGGATGAAGCTGCAGCGCAATCGCACCAACAACTCGGGTGAAAACGAAATGCGTCTGGAGTCGACCAATAGTACGGCCCTCTTGGCGTTGGGTGCACGGAAACCAATCGGTCCTGGTGTTGCTGGAGGTCAGCTAACATCTGGAGCCGCTCAGCCACCACAGCGTTCGTTTATCATACGCATCAAGCACATGAACGTGAAGGATATAATACAGTTCATGGAGGAGGAGAAGCGCTACAACAAGTCCAAGCTGCTCTATGATGCCTATTTGACGTACAAGTGGTAGAGCGGGGGGACGGGCAGACGCAGTAAGAATGAGAGATAGAGAGGGGATTAGACGAGTCTTTGGGTTGGTTGGCACACACGCGCGTTACGATTCCAATTACAGCCATATTCAGTCAGTTCAATGAACTTCCTTTCAAATAAATCAGAACAAAAGCCCAAGGAAACAGGTGGTGTGTCCGTTGTTCAATCAGCTGCTGCTGAGGTTGCTGCTGTTGCTGCTACTGCTGCTATTGCTGTTGCACTTGGCATTTCAATGGAGCTCCATGAAAATTCATTTATTCTACCCATGCACTTTGAACTTTTGTGCACTGATTGCAGACGCAGACGACGGGGACGACTACAACGACAACGACGACGCCGACAATGCGGAGGAGTACTTAAAGGAATATCCGGCCGGCAACGCTAACCCAGACAGGAAGCATATGCGCATGCGCTAGTCGCCAACTGTCGGCGTCGTCGCTTTGGAGGAGGAAACGTGATCTTATCGTGCCGCTCATTATGTTAAGTGCTGGCAATAAAATCAAAGCGCGGCTTAGGGCGACACAATCATCTATGCGTCTCCAATTGAACTTCAATTGAAGCCGTGCGCCAAGTCTCACTTCGAAATTGGGCGCTCACGTAGCCCTTGGACGGGGCATGGACGGGCATGCGTGCAGTTCGTGCTGTGGCCACCAATTGTAGTAGTATTAATTTTCGTGTAATTGATGGCATTTTGGATTGGGTTACGAGTGACCATTCCACATATCTAATTGGAAATGCTTTACGCAATTCTCTATGGAGTTAAAAAATAGAGCTGGGCCTGAACACAATTGGCATATCAGAAATTATAGTCTATAAAAATAAGAAGCTTGGTATAAAAATGATCAAATACTCGAAAATTGTATTAGCCCAGATTTTAGATTTATAGCTCTATGGTTGTCTTAGCTCTACTAAAAGTTAGACTGGTAGTTGTAACTAAGTCCTATACTTAAAATGATAATATATTTATCCTCTTTAGAAATTGATTCTTACTACGCTGAAGTAAAAGCTAAGCTTCGTCAAAAACAAATCTGAGACAATTTAACTCTGTAAGTAATAAAATAATGTATTTTATAGATTTTGTTTAAATGAGTTATTTTTAAAAGAACAGAGTGCCACAATTTCAGTACGAAATTTGAATTTTATTACGAAATCCTTGAACTTCCTATGTGATTTAAGGATGTCAACATTTTTCTACTTCAAGTGTCTTTTTTTGTATGATGACTAGTTCCTCTTAGTTAGATCTATTATGCATCGGGGATTTCTCATGACTGCATTTGGATTGTTGCAAAGTCTCAATCTTAATATGTAGCATACTTATTACAATTTTTTTCTATACAATATTACAATGCAGGCCTGCATAGTCTTATGAAAACTGTACTTTTGAGGCACTCTAAATAGTTCTGTTTTTAGATAATCATTCAGTTGATGTCTAAACAAATTTCGAGTGCGTTTATTTTTATTATTTTTTTTTTGACACACCTGTCGGCAAAGCTACCCACCCCTATGCCAGACCCCTAGCCCTGTTGCAGGCTTAGCTCCTGCATATGCATACATCGTATCCCTTTTTAAGGACCCTCTCCCAGCTGCTCGACGCTCGCTTGCCCACTTATCGGGCGCTTGTGCCGTCAGGCGTTAACTTGACAGGTAGACAGGAAAAGTTCGAACCACACACAACATGCCCCCTTGTGTTGAAACCACCCCCAACTGAACCATCGCCACTTGAGTATAGATCACTTTTCCGGCCGGAAGGAGGCGACTCGCTAGTATGCAAGGTGTATTTGCATAGCACAACTCCACGTTGGGCAGGAAGCCGAATGCCAACACACACACACACAGACAATCATTGATACACCCCAAACCCAAGCACTCGACAACGTTCCGTTAGGGCGCACCTCGTTCGCAATATATGTGTGTGTGTATTATGATATCTGAGTATTTGTATAAGAGCAACAACAAAGAGTTGCTTTTGTATTTGGAAAATGTTGCACCTTTTTTGCATAAGGTCGTCGCCTGTTCTGCCCTGGTCTGGCCTGGTCTGTGCTCTGTCCCGATCGCCGAAGTCTTTATAGAGTAGCAGCTGTGCCAATACTCCGATCGCTTGGCTATAAAACTGTGAAGCACCTTTTCATATGCTCGTGTGTTCATTTGTTTGCCTTGGCCCGGATAAACCTTACGGGAATTGTGTGTATTGATTGCTGCTCGTCTCCCATTTTATCTGTTGCTCATATTTACACACTTGTGGCCCGATAAGGTGCCCATTAAGCGTATGAAAACATCTTTCCTGTCGTCTATTTACATATATTTCTGCTTACACAGGCATTGACTGAACTATCTGAAGGCGTTTCAATTTGTCGAAAGCTATTTACAGCACAAACTTGCCACACATTGTGCTACATTTCGTGCAACGTGAATAACGGGGGAATTTTTCCAACAACTTGTAATGAGTCGAAAATAAATATTCGTTAGAATAAGCCTGGTGATTCAGAGCATATATTTAATTGTATGCGATTAAGTGTGTCTATCAATTTAAATCTGTTTATATTGTACATCTGGTAATATTTTAATACTTTTTCGATTTTAAATCTCAATTGTGACATATAACACCATTTTCATTCGATGGCATTCATACAGAATCTTGCCGTCAGAAAGGTTTAGGACGATTTCTTGTGCATGTTGATGCCAAAATTAAGAAATCCGTTTTAAACATATTTTAAGGCTATACAAGCTTAGAAACAAGCTATATAATTTTATTTAAAATATTCTGACAGCAAAATGATTTTAGTGACATATACACTAGACCAATAAAAATGTAAAGTTCGATTAGGTTCTATAAAATGATAGTATGATTAGTCGTAGCGTTTAATGGGATATTTTTCTCTTACGCGTTTAAATTGATTTTTCAGTGCTTTGAAAAGTTCGTTTTCGTTAGTTAATAAAATTAAGCTCCTCCCATGGACATGCTAAGTTTCACTTGCTGATGCAATTTGCTTCCTCATAAAATATCAGCTCCGTTTCTAATCTACGGCATATGCTCCGCCTAGTCGCGACTGGTCGCTGGCCACCACTAGGCACTCACAAAGGAGTCATAAAAAACTATCGACACGTAACGATTTGTGCCGCTCCAGACACGCTGCTGTCGGTGTAGCTGCTGTTGCTCCGACTGTTGCGTATTACGGCGTCTTACAGCGAAACCAAAATCCGTGCACAGCCCCCAAAGACAATATTTATGGCTTTATTAACTTCAAAACGCAACAGCAGCAGCAACTGCCGGCATCAGCGGCAACAAAGTGTTAAGCCCGGCCAAGGCGATGAAGTTGTGTAAATGAAATTAATCTTCAATAGACACAGGGCAATAAACGAACGGCAGAAGGCGTCCCATACACATGCATACATGTGTGTGCATATATACCCCAACCCCAACGTCAACCCCAGCCCAACCACTGGCGACTGCCATTAGTCATTAAACAATTTTCCACTGAAGCGGCCGCAACTTCAACTCCAGCAACTCCAGCGGCAACTTCAGCATCGGCTGCTGCGTATTTTGTCAGGTGTCATAAAAACCGAATTTATTGCGCATGCGCAGCCCGATGTTCCTCCAATATAAGAAGCGTCTGTACGTGGCGCATTTTGTTACAGATTGTGTGTATTTTTTTTTTTCTTTCGGTTTTATTATTTAATTTTGTTTGCTGCAGGATTATAAATCATGATGCGTGCGAGTTAAGGTGACAGCACTTTAGGGCACATAAACACACATAAACCTGAGCAGGTTGCTGGAATTTTAATTAAATGGAGCACGAAGTGTGCAAGGAGATTTACCTTGGCCATATGGCCAAAACTGTCAGGCAGAAAGATAAGTCGGACTACATATATAACTGGTTCATAATCAATAGGGATGACCACTCAGGGACTTGGTTATTCCCAGCAGATACATGAATGTGTTAAAAAAATATGACATTTTCGTATTAAATATACTTAAATATAAGCTTAAAGCTAGCGAAACAAACAGAAAGATATTTAATCAAATATTGCATGTTTTCAGTTTTAAATGATGCTCTAACATTGGATATTTCTATTTAAAGCAAATAATAAATTTATATGTATATTATAAATGATGTCTCTAGCTCTTATAAGTTCTGTAACATGCTTCATAAACATGGTTTCGATATCGATATTTATAATTTGCAAGCGGGAAAGTTATCGATTATTTAAAACAACCTGAAACTGCTCGAGATATGGGAATACGTGCTCATACATACAGACGGAGGGACAGACGAATATCATGATATTGCCAGGCCAAAGATCATAATAATGAATGTCTGAAATACTTCGTCGGAAAATTGTAAATATGTTTTTAATTTGTATTAATGTAGGGTTACTGCACATATATTTAATGTGGACGTTCTGAGCATCTTAAGTTGAATGTCCATTATTTGGAATGATCCAAATGTGGGCTATGCCATGCTCTTTTAAAATACATAAAAGATATATTAATTTGGAAATTTTCACTAACTTCACTATCCTCATTCCTATGAAAGTGGCCTTTCGAGCTTCTACCCAAAGGTCCATTTATATAAATGCAGTTTTCAATCACTAACCATACTCAGAAATGCGAAAATGTAAAAAAAAACAATATAATGGAAAAATAAAATCATACAGTGCGAAATTCACACGCTCTCGCCTGCGGGTGTTCTCTTGGCAATCGTACAGAAAGGGCACGTAACATGCTCGAATGTGTGTGTGCCGTGCTCTGCACTTGTTCCCACAAATTCCAAGGCATTGGCAATTTCCATGAAGCAAACAACAAGCAAAAATTTCACACTCTTGCATACAAAAGCAATGAGCCAAAAAGCAGAAAAACCAAAAAATGAAAAATAAAATCTGAAAAATGACGCGTTGGAAGTGCCCGACTAAAAAATACCCTGTACTCAGCGCCCGGCTTCGTGACAAGTTTGTAGGAGATGGGAGGACGCATCCAAAGAGTTAGCTGTTATTAACTTCTATATAGTATTCGATTGTCTACATACCATATATATCTTTGTGATTTGCTTTCGAATCATGGAAATCATGTCATAGATATTAAACGATATCAATGGTATAGGGAAATATGTATTTCAAATTGCAGGTTCCTAGACTTAGTTTGTCTTT